CGCTTCTGTCCCATTCAGGAAATGGGGCTGAACCATTTTACCTGTAAACCACTTCCAAGTAGTCTTCAGTTTCTTCTCCCGGATCCGAAACGCTTTTCCCTGCCGTTTTTCGCCCACGTGGGCAAAAAACAGTGGGGAAAAGCGGGGAAAAGCAGTGCAGTCTGAAATGGCAAACCGCTTCAGATCCAGCTGTTTACCAGTAGGGGAAAGCCATGTGTGAAATGGCAGCCCTATGTTTACTCCATGACGGATCGAAAACTGCTTCAAACCGGCTTAAAAAGGGTAATGTGAAATTCCTCAAAGTGTTAACAGGTCCTTGAAGTGGCTGACTGTCTCGCTTAATTCAGACTTCTAGTCTTGGTCAGAGCTGTTTATGGAACTGAAAGAGATAGGCGAACATAGGAAAACTGAGCACTCAGACAGCTTTGGGAGGAAGAAGAAGAAGAACATGAAAGGTGGGTTTTAATATGTCTAGCTGTGGTTGCCACTCATTTGCTGGGGTGCAGAGATGGGGGACAAAGGGGGAAATTGCCTTGGGGCCCAAAAAAGCTGACAAGCTGCCCAAGGGATTGGTTCATATTACCTAAATCTAGTGGGAAAACAAGGGTTAGTCATGCCTGATCTTTCACCTTTGATCTTCAGGGCAGTGGTATACAGGGTCAAAGAGGAAGCCTGTTTACCTATCTAGTGAATTGGCATTCCTCATTAAATACCCTGTGCTGAAGTTCATAATACTTCTGTTATGTTCATATGCCACATATATCACTGTGCATTGTTATCTACCAGTCTGGAGGGCGTGGAGCAGAAGGGCCCTCAGCTTATGCCTTGCCCCGGACCTTGTGTTGCCAACCTCCAGGTGGTGCCTGGAGATCTCCTGGAATTACATTATATCCCCAGACTAAATAGATCAGTTCACCTGGAGAAAAATGGCTTCTTGGGTAGACCTTATGGCATCACCTCACTATCAAGGTCCCTCCTTTTCCCAAACCCCACCCCAGGCTCCACCCCTAAATCTCCAGGAATTTCCCAACTCAGAGTTGGCAACCTGGATCCCACGATACCTTTCTGAAGCCATGCGTGCTTATTTATTTATTTATTATCAAATTTATACCTCACCCTTCCCAGCCAAGGCCGGCTCAGTACAGAAAATGCAGATGTCATTAACAACTTATTGCCTTCTTGTTCTTTCTGCTGTTACTATTTCCCCTTTTCCTTATTTCACCAAAATCTTGGGATTTATTTGGGATTTATTTTGTTATTTGTTTGTGGTCATCTCTGCTGTTCACTACAGATCATATCTGAGCAGAATTGCCTGGCTATGTTTGATATACTCTCCAGCTATAGACTGCCGTGCAAGAAAGATCCGTTGATCGCGTGGATTCTATTCTGGTCCCATCAGTGAAAGTAGCTGTTGGGTGTTAATCCCTTCTGATCCCAGGTTTTAGGTGAAACTTTTATTAGCTAGGCAGGGCACATTGCAGGCTCAGTTCTGAGGGACACCTCCAAACACACTGAGCATGAAGGAGAAACCTGCTCCTCCGGTGGTAACGTTGCACTGCTCAAAACGTGTGGGAGGTTTGCATAGGTGGTTTGCACTCGAGGACAAACCCTGGGTTTCAGTGTCTTCTTCGAAATGTCACTGGCAAGGCTCAGATTATTAATGGAAGTTAGCGAGTAATTGGGGAGTGATGCTCCAGGTAGAAGATTTCATGGAGGGGGCTGTTTTAAAGGAGCAGACTCAGAAGTCCAGCTGATTGTATGATCCCACAAGTGAGGAAAGGACAGAGGGAAATGAGAGTTTTTGGACACGAGACAGACAAAGTTAAGCATATCTAAGGCCCAGAGATTTTATTTATTCATTTATTTTATTCCATTTGTATCCCGCCCTCCCTGCACAGCCGGCTACGGGCGGGTTCCATACAAATTTAGTAAACAATGTACAATATACAAAAATTAAAACATCAGTAAAATACAGCAACATCATCCGGTGCAAGTTTATAGTTAAAGTTAAAGCCTCACAGATGTCATCTCTTTCAAGATCTGGTCCTTAGCTGGTAATGCAGTTCTGGCCCACTGAATTTCAGGGGAAATTCAACAACGAATCAGGAAAAGTCCTAAAATATTGTGGTGACTGAGATGAAAAATCCCAACGGCATCCCCTTTCTCTGTAATTAACATGGGGCGCAGTCCCGTTTTAACGGGCTAGTGCAGAAGATGTTTCCTATCATGGATTTGCACCCCACGGGTCAGGTCTGCCAACCTCCCACTCTGCTGTCCTTCGGAACGTCTCAGTCTGCCTCTTGAGATGGGCCGCTTCATGGTAGGGCCAACTGAGCTCTCTCCAGCTGAAAGCAGGGGCATTTTAAAAGGGCTTCGTTTATTTTGGATATAGCTTGCCTAATCTGTACCTTTTTTAACAGGACAAACACATCTCAGCACTTCAAATACCCAAAACAAACAGCTGAAACAAAAGTTCCTTGCGACAGAAACAAGATAAAACACCTGAAATTGGAGATTGGATAAAGAAGTTACTTTTTATGGTCGAAATGGACAAAATGACGAGGAAACTTAAAAATTTGGAAGCAGAAGAATTTTTCGAAGATTGGAAAGATTTCAGAGACTTATCTAGAAAAGTATTGGGATGTAAAGGACAATCTGCTTTGTTTTGAAAATTATTGAAATAGAAGGAATAATAGAAATGGATAAGTGTATAAGAACAACAATTGAAAAATGTGTTACCCGTAGAGTTTGAATATTTTTTTAAAAAAGGAAGATATGTAAAAGATCTAAGAGATGAGCAGGAGGTTGGAGCACTGTGGGAAGCCATGAAAGGGTGGGGGTAAGAGGAAAAAGGATGTATGACATAAACTTTGTTGTATGTTTGAACGTTTATCATATCCTAATAAATTGGGGGTTTTTTGGGGGGGGGAAGTTCCTTGCGACGGGAAGTAAAGACTGAAGACAGGAAGATGAAGCCTTCGTGGGAATCTGGAGCCCAAAGCAACAGCGTCATGATGCTGCGTGGAAAAGCCGGGCCTCCCTTTGTGCGATGCTTCCCATTGGCCAGTAATAGAGCAATATCCCACCAGCACTTAAGTAGAGCCCTGCTGGATCAGACCAAAGGCCCATCGGGTCCAGCATTCTGTTCACACAGGGGCTGACCAGCTGGAAGTCCACAAGCTGGATGACTGCGGCAGCATCCTTCTGCCCGTGTTCCCCAGCAACTGACGGTGGTGGAGGAAAGTGCCATCAAGTTACAGATGACGTATGGCGACCCCCAAAGGGTTTGTGAGGCAAGAGACGTTCAGAGGTGGTTTCTCATTGCCTGCCTCTGTGTTGCAGCCCTGGGCTTCCTTCATTGTCTCCCGTCCAAATTCTAACCAGGGCCAACCATGCTCGGCTTCCGAGATCAGGCCAGCCTGGGCCAACCAGGTCAGGGCCAGCAAGTGATACAAAGAGGCATGCTGCCTCTGGTCCTGGAGGGAGTGGATATCCATCATGACTAGCAGCCATGAAATCTGTCCACTTCCCTTTTAAAGCCTTCAGAGCTGACAGCCATCACCACATCCTGTGGCAGTGAGTTCCATGGTTTAAGTATGCACTCTGTGAAGGAGTACTTCTTTGTGTCTGTCCTGGATCTTCCATCATTCAGCTTCGGTTTGGTGTCGTGGTTAAGAGCGGCGGACTCTAATCTGGAGAACTGGGCTTGATTCCCCCCCTTCTCCACATGCAAGCAGAGCTGTTCTATCAAGAGCAGTTCTCTCAGAGCTCTCCCAGCCATACCTACCTCACAGGGTGTTGTGGAGAGAGGAAGGGAAGGAGATTGTAAGCTCTGAGTGAAGAGCAGGGTGTAAACCCAACTCTCCTCCTTCTCCTTCTTCTCTGGGTTTGATTCCCTACTCCTCCACATGCAGCTGCTGGTGTGACATTGGGTCAGTCACAAGTTCTCTCAGAGCTGTTCTGGAAAGAGCAGTTTCTGTCAGAGCTCTCTCAGCCCCACCTTCCTCACAGGGTGTCTGTTGTGGGGAGAGGAAGGGAAGGAGATTGTAAGCCACTCTGAGACTCCTTTGGGTAGTGTAGGTAAAGGTAAAGGTTTCCCTTGCTCGAAAGCCAGTCGAATCCAACTCTAGGGATGCGGTGCTCATCTTCTTTCCAAGCCGAAGGGCCAGCGTTGTCCAAAGACATTTCCGTGGTCATGTGGCCAGCATGACTAGATGCCGAGGCGCAAGGAACGCTGTTACCTTCCCACCGAAGCGGTACCTATTTATCTACTTGCAGTTTCTTGCTAAGAACCTTTTAGAGACCGAGTGCCCAAACTGCGACCCAAAACCCACTTATTTATCGCAAAGTGCCAACACAGCAATTTAACCTGAATACTGAAGTTTAACTTTAAAAAAACAACCCATACATTAATTTAAGATGATCCAAACAAAGTAAGGAAAGCAATCCCAAATGCTTTCATTTACTTAAAATTATTTGGCAGAGAATTCGACACTTTAATGATGGTCTGGGCCTGGCTGGGGCGATGGCATGCGTGCCCACAGAGAGGGCTCTGAGTGCCACCTCTGGCACCCGTGCCATAGGTTCGCCACCACTGACCTAACAGATAGTCTTGGTATATCACCATGGAATCTTCTATATCCCAGAGTCCCAAACTGATGAAAAGGCAATCTGAAATCACAATGTCTTTGTAGCAGTGAGAGAGCGAGAGAGAGAGAGCCTGCTTCTGTTCTTGACTTAAAGCCTATAAGATAGATACAGTAATCTTATTTAATCATTTGGCCAGCCAAATGATTTCCTTCTCATTTGCAAGGTCAACACCACAGATACATTGTAAACGTCTTCGTCACCGAGCTTTTGCAATTCTCAGCCGGTGCCTGTTTGTCAGGTCCAGGTTTCTTGTGCTGTGAGGTGTGTCCAATTGCCACCTCTGGATGGCTTGTCTTTCTCACCTAGTGCTGCCCTCCTCCCTGGGGAGGTGGCCCATAGTAGATATAATAGGCTCTTGGAAAGAGGCCATTCGAAGAAGCAAAGGCAACCATCGGGGTGACTCTCCTGAGCAGGTAAGAAGTGGGGAACGTTCGCCCAGGAGCACAGAGAGTCTAGACGTGTTTTCCCTCTTCTCTGCCTAAATTACCAGGAATCTCCATTACTTTTGCTGTGCGAACGCCTTCCTGAGGTGTATCTTCTGTTTCGTTGTGGCACAAAGAGTTCTGGAATGAGTTATAGCCTGATCTTTGTGTGTTGTGTTCATTTTTTTTCCCCTATGATGATACCCTTGGGGAGTTTTGGAATGGGAACCTTCCAAGGTTGCTATCTGATTGCAGATCAGAGGATGGGCTTCTTCTGTGGATTGGCAGTTTACTACTAGGCAGATCTGGGAGTCAGCGTGCAAATCTTTCTGCCACCTCCCTGGAGAGGAAAGAGCCTAGAATTTGGACTGGGTGGTCAAGCTATTTGTTTAGCTATAGTCTTCCTTTCTCACCGAGACGCAAGGTGGATCGTTGAAAGGCATGTGATGCATTTTCATTGTTCCAAGTTGCTTTGGGAGCGGATCTTGGCTGGAGATGCCTGCAGCTTGTGATCTCCACAGCTTTCAGCAGGGGCAGGCTATCGAGGAAGCCCTTGCCCGGGGCTACTTGTCTGGCAGGAGGCCCATCCAAATATCCCCTCTGAGGGCCCCACTTTCTATAGTGGCATATGGGAATGGCCAGCTGGTAAATGTCTTTCACCTGCAATGTCATAAGCAGGGCATGGTGGCATTGATGTGGCTTTTGATATGGTTACATTTCTTTTTCTTCATTTATACCCCACTCTCCTCTCCAGTGGGGGCCCAAAGTGGCTCACATCATTCTCCTCTCCTCCTTTTTATCCTCACAACAACCCTCTGAGGTAGGTTAGGCTGGGAAAGCATGTGACTGGCCCAAGGTCACCCAGTGAGCTTCCCTGGCAGACTGGGGATTAGAACACGGATCTCTCCCACAACTTAGTCTGACAATCTAACCACTGCACCATGGCTAGCTCTCTACACAACTGTTGTTAGAGTAATTCACACAAGCCGTTTCCATTAGCAGGTAGGTGATCAAGGGGCCCGTGCCCTGAAGTGGCTTTGCATTCAGGCATTTGTGTTGCATGGGTGTTGTCAAATGGCTCGATTTTGTATAGTGATCAGATAGCCAAGGAAGACTGAAGAACTGTGAATAGGAATGGAGTTGGTCCCATAGACGTTTGGTGGCGGCTATGCGCATGGACAGCTTCAAGAGGGAACTGGATAAACATATGGAGTAGAGGTCCATCAGTGGCTATGAGCCACAACATATAGATAGGAACTCTCCATCTGGGGCAAGCGATGCTCTGTATTCTTGGTGCTTGGGGGAGGCAACAGTGGGAGGGCTTCTGAAGTTCTGGCCCCACTGATGGACCTCCTGATGGCACCTGGTTTTTTTGGCCACTGTGTGACAAGAGTGTTGGACTGGATGGGCCTCTGGTTTGATCCAACACTGGCTTCTCTTATGTTCTTATGTGCTGGTGGAGTGATAAGGTTGGACGTGAAAAGGTCTTCAGCCATCCAATAATAAGCCCTTTCTATGAAGGTGACCATGGAGAGCATTAATCCCCCTTGGAAACTGGGAATGCACGTTCTGCTGCTGCTTCTCTTGGGAGGATCCTATGTTAGCTGTGAAGGTAAGAATCACAGACGTCTCCCAGGGTAGAGGGAATTCGGCTGTTCGCTTGTTCTGCTTAGAGCCAGAGGGCTCGCCACTGTAAACTGGTTGCTTGTTGCTACGGGGCCAAAATCCCCAGAGAAAATTTGAGATGATTTCTTAGCGGATTTTGAGAGAGAGGTTGCAGGTAGCTGTGGCAGTCCAAAGCAAAACCCAATGTAATAACTGAATGAGCTGTCATCTCCGGATAACGAAAGAAAAACTGAAAGGTGTTATTTAAAAAAAAAACCTCTTTGTGAGGGAGATCTAGAGATTTAAATATCGTAGGACTGAAATGTTTTCAATGTTCACTGCCTTGGTTAGGGTTCTGTGGAAAGGTGGCATTAAAATGTTTTAAATAGAAACAAAAATAAAATAAATATCCGTGTTTGTCTCCAAGCATGTGAGTTTTGAGAGATGTGAAACTTGTCCGGTTCGGGAGAGAACAAAGAAATTGAGCCACGATGGCTACGACAGAAGTTAGGATTGTGGGTTAAGCAGGATTTCCTGGGACTAGCCAAGGGATAAGGGTGGCACCTCTGGGTTAGGAAATACTTGGAGTTTTTTGGGGGGGTGGAGCTTAAGAGGGTGGGGTTTGGGGATGGGAAGGTCTTCAATGTGGTATAATGGGATCTCAGCTGGATCTAATGCCATAGAGTCCACCCTCTGAAGCAGCCATTTTCTCCATGTCCCTCTTGCTTTGGGAGGGGATTGAGACAGACCAAGGGGCTGCTGCATTCTTGATGTCTCTTGTGTAACCATGTCTCTTTCTCTTCTCGGCCAGTGTTTTTCCTGCCGTGTGGCAGGGACCCATGTTTGTCTCCAAGCATGTGAGTTTTGAGAGATGTGAAATTTGTCCAATTTGGGAGAGAACAAAGAAATTGAGCCACGATGTCTACGACAGAAGTTAGGATTGCGGGTTAAGCAGGATTTCCTGGGACTAGCAAAGGGATAAGGGTGCCACCGCTGGGTTAGGAAATACTTGGAGTTTTTTTGGGGGGTGGAGCTTAAGAGGGTGGGGTTTGGGGAGGGGAGGGTCTTCAGTGTGGTATAATGGGATCTCAGCTGGGTATAATGCCATAGAGTCCACCCCCTGAAGCAGCCATTTTCTCCATGTCCCTCTTGCTTTGGGAGGGGATTGAGACAGACCAAGGGGCTGCTGCATTCTTGATGTCTCTTGTGTAACCATGTCTCTTTCTCTTCTCCAGAGTGGTGCTATGACAAATCCAGCTGTGGTAAGTGGAAAACTTCTTTGCCACAGTTTCACACACAGGCTGAAGGGAACTTCCCCAGTGCAGGAAGCGTAGTAGGCTGTTCTCTCTGTTGGGCTGATTAGATCATCGAGGCACAAAAAGGGTAGCCATTTCCTCTAGGTGGACTCCTAGGGAGAACATGGATGATTCAGTCCCCAAGCATCTCTGACCCCACTCGAAGAGAGTGGTTGGCTGGGGTCTGGTGGCCCAGAGACACTTTATAATTATATCACATGAACACACATAAATCTGCCTGAACCAAAATCTGGAATCAGACCCTTGGTCCAGTAAGGTCAGTATTGTCTACTCAGGCTGGAAGCAGCTCTCCAGGGTCTCAGGCAAAGGACTTTCACACCACCTACCGCCAGGTCCTTTTTTATGGAGAGGCCAGGGATTGAACCCGCAACCTTCTGCAGGCCAAGGAGATGCTCTACCACTGAGCCACGGCCCTTCCCCTTTCAACCTAGCTGACCCACCAAACCTATAATATATATACAAAGTTGATGCGGGGCACTAATCCTTGATTTGCTGCTCCAGATTTCTGATTCCTACTGTGGAATTCCTCCCCCAGTGAGGTGCGTCATTTTCCTATGTCATTATGATCTCTGAGATGCTGCTGGGCCAACCTGTTTGCCCGACCTTTTTCTATCATCAGTCATTTTTTTATTGGTGGTTGCACACATGGGGTTTATCTGAGGCCACAATCACACGTCAGCTATCAGGTGCTCAAAGGCTGAAATCAGGTAGTAAATCAGCCTTCCGGCGTGGCCAATAATCGATTCAGAGCCCTGAAACAATTACATATCAGAACTGTGGGGGTTTTCCCCCCCATGTGTATACACTGACAGTGGGGGAAGTGCTGAAAACTGCTTTGAATTTATTTATTTGTTTGTTTTTAAGAAGATTTTTCAGCCTTTCTCTACTAGCTATGACTCGAGTTGTAAGCTTCCTTGGAGACTTTACAGTAGAACGGTGGGGTGTCATTTAAAAAAAAAATAAAGTTCAGATGTTCTGACACTGGAATCTGAATGTCTTGACAAGAGTTACTAGAAAAGTCAGTAATCAGGAATTTGAACGTCTTGACAAAAGCCAATAATCAGTAGGAAAAGAGGAAGACCAGCATGAAATGGATTGATTCAATGAAGGAAGCCACGGCCTTCAGTTTGCAAGATCTGAGCAAAGACGTCAATGACAGGACATTTTGGAGGTCATTAATTCATAGGATGGCCATAAGCCGGGAGCAACTTGACAGCCCATAAACCCCCCCAAACAACCCTTGGACTGCTCAAAAGGGTATATTGAGGCTTTAGCCTCATAATACAAGTATCTCTATTGGCCTCAGATTCCTCTTTTGGTTGTTCAGACTTATTATTTGTGAAAGGGCAACCACCCACCCATTCAGCACTTCCTGTCAGAACCACTAAAAGATACTTGTGTGGTTGTTCAGCAACTTGAGCTACCCACATGGCTTCCCTGTTGAAATTAATTTGTTCCTGTGAACAAACAGAATATCGCCGGGGTGGGCCAAGGCAGCTGTGACCCCAGCGAGAAACTGGGGAGGGGATCTTGTTGGTACCAAAAGAGCATGTCAACTACAGTGATCCACTAAACAGTCCCACATTACACCCCGGAACTGCCCTTCTATATACAAAATTGATGTGACCAGGGCTATTTTTGGGCAGGAACGCACAGGAACGGAGTTCCGGCTGGCTCCCGAGTTGGCCACACCCAGCAGGAACTCATTAGCATAATAGGCCACACCCAACAGCAGGGACTCATTCGGATTGGCTACATTAGGGGTGTGTGGCCTAACATGCAAAGGAGTCCCTGCTACAAAAAGAGCCCTGGGTTTTGACAACAAGGTAAACAGAATAAGAAGCAAAAGGTGGGTGTGGCTGGATGACCACACTTCTGGTAACATGGGGGTGCGGCCTAATATGCTAATGTGCTGCGCTGTCAAGGGTGTGGCCTAATATGCTAATGAGTTTCTGCTGTTGGGTGTGCTGATGAGTTCCCGCTGGGCTTTTTCTACAAAAAAGCCCTGGATGTGACTCAACAGCGACTCCTTGTATAGGGACACCGGCTGTTTACTTTACTTTATTCTTTGTTTCCTTCATTTTTACCTCAACTTTCTCCCCAATGGGGACCCGAAGCTGTTCATGTTGTTCTCATCTCCTCTATTTTATCCTCACAAGAACCCTGCAAGTAGGATTGCTGGCTCTGGGCTAGGAAAATACCAGGAGATTTGAAGGGTGGGTGGAGCCTGGGGAGGGCGGGGTTTGGTGAGGGTCGGGACCTCAGCAGGGTATAAAGTAGCCCTTTTCTCCAGGGGAACTGATCTTAGTCCTCTGGAGGTCAATTGTAATAGCAGGAGATCTCCAGGTGCCACCTGGAGGTTGGCAAGCCTACCTGTGAAGTGGGTTCGGCTACGAGTGCGTGACTGGCCCAAGGTCACCCAGCAAACTTCCATGGCAGAGTGGGGATTCAAACCTGGTTGTCCCAGATCTAGTCTGACTCAGATGACGCCGCAGTTGTGATGGCTCATAGTGATAGGGTGTATGGACTCATTGGTATGGTAATGACCTACAATCACTTAATTTGGAGGTTTTTTTTTTTTAAGCATTATTTTGTGTACACGACACCACATGACTCAGGAGATAAAGAGCCACCGCTTCTTCTCTGACCCACACTTGCCTCCCAAACCGGGATCAAGTGATGATGGTTGTCAGCCTTGCATCTGGACCCTCCCCTTTATTTTTATTTATTTATTTATACATTAGATTTCTATACCGCTCCAAACCCCAAAGGGTCTCTGAGCGGTTTACACAGTTCCGAATTATCCCTAACTAAGGCCACATGTTTACAGGGGCTACCTACCGGCACCCAGGTGGCAGGGCTCGCTGTTTCTTGGCTTGTTCCCGGCCGGTCTTTTTGGGCGTCGGTGCTCCGATATTCCTGGCGTCCCCGGTGTCTGGCATGGTCTTTCTCGGTCCGGCGGCTTTCTTTCTAGGCGGGCTCCTCTAGTGCGTGGTTTGTATATCCTTTAGTGCTGTGGTTGCCTCCTTCATGAGCTGTACCCCCTTTGCATCTGCTTTCCTAGGGCCCAGAACATGGTATTCCCTCGGTCAGTGCAATGGTGCCAACCAGTCTCCGATCAACATTGAAACCCGGAAGGCCATGCCTGGTAGCCATTTGGGTCCTATCGATTTTATTGGCTATGAAGACCGTTTGCGTCCGCAATTGCTGGTCAACAATGGACACTATGGTAAGAAAGGGCTACGGGCAACTGCAGGACAACACGGTGTAGGACCCTGCTTGTCTCAGAGTTAGGGCTCGGGCAGTGAAATCAAGGTGCCTTAATGATTGCACCACGGTGGTCACTTGCCAGAAGAGGGAGCATTTCAGCACCACTGCTGCGGATGGCCAGAAGATGGTATTGCAGCTCCAGCTCAAAAAGGATCAGGGGTCATTTCATAGAAAAAGAGGTGCAGGAGCTCATTAGCATAACTTATTTGCATATGCCACACTCCCTGACATCACCGGAAGTGTGTCAGAAGGTACCACTGGGTTTTGGATTTCTAGGCATTTGGGGGGGGGGGACGTGCAGATCTGTCCTTGCAGAGGAGGGAGAGCTTGTACCTGAATAAAACTTGGTCTTAAAGGTGCCAGTGGACTGTTTTGGACTGGGGAAAGCTCTGCAGCTTACCTGGCTGCTTCTTGCTCTGACTGAGGGCTGCTGGGAGCAGGGTGCGGGGCTTGTTGCATGTGCCCACCCCCTGGGCTCTTTACTGCCGGAGCTCTGCTCCTGTGCGCTCCTGCAGGAAATGACCCCTGAAAAGGATCATGCGGTACAAGGGACCGATTGGATACCTCCTAATCTTATCAAGCTTTTGAGTTTAATCTGGTTTTCTGGTCATAGCTAGAGTTCAGATGGAGTTGCTCTTAGACTGCCAGTCTGCCTGCCTGACAGCTTGATGTCCCTTTAGCTTGATGATGGCTCTTGTTTGATGGCTTGTCTGTGTTGCCTGGCTGGTATATGTTTTCCTGCAGACCTCCATGTATCATGTGCCCCCCACCAAGGCCAGCCTTGACACTAGAATGATCATATGTAATTCAGGGAACTGGGTCCCATGATGGCAGCCATACAACGTGATAGCTCAGTTCACCTCAGATAGGTGGCAGTCCTGTGGTGGAGCGAGACACAAGTCATGTTGGGAGTGGAGGAATCACTGCAGCCCAGAGATGCTCAGTTATGTGCTAGCAACATATTTGTAATGGTGATCCATGGTGCTAAAAAGGAATGTGCATATTGTAAAGATGGAGTCTTCTTGCATAGAGATAGTAGCCCTGTTCACAAGCCACAGTGAATGCTTGTACAGCCTAGACCTGTGCTGATGATCCATCTGCACATCACTGCGTGGGTAGGGAGAGCGGGCATGAGTGCGCCAGCCATGCCCCTGACTGCCATGTGATTGCCGAGTCGTCTGCATGATACAACTGCACAAAGTGCCCACCTATACACTCCTCTCCATGAGATTGGCGATGCTTCCTTCTGAACGTTGCTGATCACAGGGAGGGAATGTTGTGCGGGAACTTCCTCCACGTGTCCACATGGTGCAGATGACCTGGGCAAAGCCCAGCTGCCTGCTCTCCCTCCCCATGCAGTGACTCAGCACACAGGTAAGTCATATGACCAGGCCTTCCCTGTGAAGTGTATACTTGATTTTTCTTTACACATACTTTGAGCCAGTCTCATCTTGCATTCAGTACGGGTAGAGCAAAATATGTGATTTTAAACCCCATATTTATCCACATTCTGGTCCCCAGTTTCAATCGTAAAGTAAATTTGTGTTAGACAGGAATTCTGTCTCTGGCTGTGTTTGCCCAACCCAATCTGAGAAACACACAAAAACAGTCCTGTAGAGAAGAAGCCTGAAATATTTATTAATTAATAAAGGAAGAGTACAGATATCAAGGTGTGGAACCCATGAATACCCAACAGACTCTTCGAGTGTTACAAAGGGTGACATAGCATTTTATACTCAATATGACATAAGCAAAAAACCCCATAATTATTGGTTCCATTAATTTCGTCATAAAGATCTAATTGGGCTAAGATCTGTGGCTTGGGTCTTCTCAAGCGAAGTCCCTTCCCCCTAGCAAAACAATAGACGCTTCTTTTTCTTAGGCCATGAAGCTCTAAAAGTATCTTTATTAGCTGATAAAGCTACAGGGCATTATTGTTCTCCATTTAATCAGGCTAACTGACACCAGAAACATGTGCAGTTGCAGCCAGTCAGGCCAACCGACACCAGAAACATGTGCAGTTGAAGCCAGCAGACAAGGCCACAAGCCTTAGCAGAATAGCAAGTTAGGAATTTTATTCTCCCAGCATGCTTCTAAGCAATAGCCATCAATGAATCAAAGTTAATATCTGAATATATGTTCATGATTTATTTCTGTTTGTGTGATTAGAATCATAGATGGCACTTAACATATATAGTGCTAAGTGTGCCTAATAAGGCCACATGTTAGTCAGTGGCAGAGTTAGGGTTGCCAAATGTCTCTTACCTCCTCGGCGGGGGACCCCAGGCTATCTCCTGGTGGGGATGGCTGCCATTTGAGGGGAAAACTCTATGTTTTCCCCTCAAATGGCTGTGGCCCCGCCCCCAGCGTGTGACGTCACATCTGGTGACGTGCACGCGGGGGTGGGGTTTCCCCCGGGCCCCGATTCCGCGGGGGTGGAAATCGGGGCTCAAAAGCGGGGGGAAATCCGCCCTCCGGGGGCATTTGGCAGCCCTAGGAAGAGTGCAAAAGTGTATAACAGTAATCAGTGGCAGAGTGCAAAAGTGTATAACAGTGTTTCATAAACTGTGTGTACAACATATGTGTTGGCTATTTGTTGCAAACAGATGTGTGCACGTATGCACAAGGTGTACTGTAACATTTGCTATAACAGAGGTCCCCAAGATGGTGCCTGTGAGAGGCATGGCAGCCACCAAATGTGTTCATGAAAGTGGGTGGGGCCAGGTGGAACTTTTGCCCACCAAGGCTTCTGATTGGCCACTGGAACTTTGATTGGGTGTGCAGATTTTTTAAAGTGTTACTTTGGCAGCAGCTGCCACCGCAGCACAATGATCTTTAAGAACATCACATCACATCACATCACATCACATCACATCATCACATCACCATGTTTTAACATGTTTTAAGAACATAACATAAGAATGGGGCTCGAACAGCCGAAGCTGTTCGGCCAGATGTCATTGCAGGCTTTTCTTACCGCCTGCGTCACCGCAAAATATATACTTGGCTCCGATGACCAACCCAAGTTCTATATTGCGCAACCTAGCTCTCTTGTATCTGCATAGTACCTCTGCTGGACTTCATTTCTTAGTCGTGCCTGTGTGTGACGCTGTGATTATGTGATGTAGAGTAAGGTGACTTTGGAACATAGGGGAAAGATGGCTCTTTCTTAGCGCATCTGCATGGCTTGCAGAATGGCCCAGTTTCTATCTCCAGTTAAAAGGAATCGGTTGTGGGGTCTCGACCTGAGACCCTGGAAAACCACTGGCCATCTGAGTAGACAGTACTGACTTTAATGGATTCGGTATAAGGCAGCTTCATATGTGAGCTGTCAATCACATACACAGATCCGTGTTTCTCTCATTATATATCCGGCCATCTCATAACAAGGCAACCCAGGCAGTCAAATTAATTGCACGTGTGTAAACTAAAATGCAGACAAAGCCGTACTTCAATAAAACCTTGGTGCTATGGGGTAATAAACCTGCTGCAGATTCACTGTTACAAATTAAAGAGGCTTAAAAATAAACTCTGGGATTATTAAAAGCCTCTGTGTGGCTTCCTGAACATAAGTGCTTTAAATTACAGCTCTTCCCAAACACCTGCAGGCAAGGGTAGGCCTTTCCCAGGGCATGTTCTCTCAACAAAGCAAACATGCCTCAGAGAACTCAACTCTGGCTGGGCAAATGGGACTGAGGGAAAAGAGACGCTGAGGAGAAAAAGAGGGAGGAGGGAGGGCTAAGCAATCTCTCCCAGTTTCTCATCCCCCTTCCATCTCATCTATCTGAGGCACTTTTTAGATATTGTGGGCAGGAGCAAGCTTCACAATCTTTTTGAGCCTGTGGGCACCTAAGGAATTTTTACACAATGTGGTGGGCACAGCCACAAAATGGCTGCCAAAAGAGGCAGAACCAGTCACAAAAATGGCCACCACAGCTTACCTTCAGTCACACAGTGAAGATCCTCGTACTGTTGTGGTCGCTGCTGCCAAAGCAACATTTTTTAAAAATTGCACAGCCAATAGGGTTGCCAAGTGTATCTTCACCAGGAGCGGGGGGCTCCCGCCCGGTGTCATATGCGTGCGCGCGTGCGCGCCACACGCACATCACCTGGAAGTGATGGGAGGACGCCAGCCACGCTGGGGGTGGGGCCACGGCAATACAAGGGAGTTTTCCCTTGTATAGCCGTGGCCCCACCCCCAGCGTGCCCGGCGTGCCCACGTCACTTCCTGGTGACGCGTACGCCGGGGTGGGGTTCCCCCCGGGGCCCGATTCCGCAGCGGCGGAAATCGGGCCTCCAAAGCAGGGGTTTACCCGCCCCCACTTGGCAGCCCTAATAGCCAATCAAATCTCCAATGGCTTCCCACCCACTTTCTTAAAACACTTGGCAATGAACAGGAAAGGCGTTGCAGGGAATCAGATCTTTCCACCAATATCCTTACTTTTGGCTTTCCATCTAGATCTCAAAAGAATAGCTCATTCTCAAGGATACCTGGCCTGTCCTTGCTCCTGCTTCAGTTTTAGAGACATAAGTAGGCTTACCAACACTCGGGGGGCGGGGGGGGCGGAGATCTCCCAGCATTACAACCAGGGCTATTTTTGGGCAGGAACGCACAGGAATGGAGTTCCGGCTGGCTTCAGAGTTGGCCACGCCCACTACAGCCAAAACCTCTCTCACCCGTCCCAGGCTCCACCCCCAAAACATCCAGGAATTTTCCCAATCTGGAGTTGGTAACTCTACGTGATGCTACATGTGATAAGTAATCTATTTTTTTTAATGAGTAAATTAAAGCCATACAAAGCGAACAGGTCAGAAATACAGTACAACCAGGGCCGGCCCCACGTTATTTTGCACCCTAGGCGAGGATCCCTTCTGGCGTCCCCCATGCCCCCCTGCGCTCCCCCTGGTCAGAGCCAGCGGGGGGTCTTTTGGTGGGGGGCAGGTGCAGTTTGGTGCCCCTCGTCAGGGCGCCCAGAGAAGAGGCTGACTGGCAGGGCAATACAAAGGTATCAGATGTAACGTGTACAAAACCATCTAGTGGGAATGTAGAAAAATCAAAGGTAGCACTTATTTAATCTAAGTATGTAAATATAACATGTGATAAGTAATCTAGACCCTCCCCCCCTTTTAATCAAAGCTTTATTAAAACATTGCCTGTTCTCCTTTCCCATCTTGGTTCAATTGCAGCTGAGGTTGAAATGAAGAGCGGAGCCGCCATCTTTGGGAGGGGGCTTCCGGCCACATATTACCTGAAGTCGTTCCACTTCCACTGGGACAAAAGCAGTGCTCCAGGATCAGAGCATGCAGTCAATGGGAAGCGCTATGACATAGAGGTGAGTCTTGTAAACAGTAGGCGGAAGCAAGCAAGGGGGAGAAAGGGGAATATTAGGATTTGGGAATCGGGGGGTTGCGGCGTTGGAATGTCAGTACAGCAGCATTAAACTACTCAGCAAGCCAGGAACAACCCCTGCCCTGCTGGCCTGGATCTAGATTGCTAACTTCCAGGTGGGGGTCAGGCGATCTCCCAGGATTACCACTGACCTCCATACAACAGAGATCAGTTCCCATGGGGAAAATGGCTGACTTGGAGGGTGCACTCTGTGGCATTATACCCTACTGAGGTCTCTCCCTTCCCCAGTTCCCCACTTTGCCAGGCTCCACCCCCATATCTCCAGGAATTTCTCAACCCAGAGTTGGCAACCCCGGAAACAGAACTGCTCTGATGGCAAAATGGCACTCTCTTCCGACTTGGTGCTGCTCATCCCCCCAGACTTGAGGGTGACACTAGGGAGCGCTGTGGTGTTAAACATATATACTTTCTGGCAGGCCTCATGGAATAGTGCTTTGCAGGTCTTCTGTGCCTGACCCCTGTGCAACTTGTAAATCTGACATGCACACACCCTATGCTGCTGCTGCTCCAGGCTCTTAACCTTTTGCCTTTTCCTTAATCTTTAGCCTTAGGTCACTGAGCCCGCAGCAATCACTACTGTCTCGTCATCCCTCCTCTTCTCTTTGAACATCCAAGCCCATCTAGCGCCCCATCCCTCCCATTCCGAGAAACAGGGAGGTAGAGGCATGCATTGCAGGGTAGCATCTTCCTCTCCAGCAATTAGAGTGTTTGCACACAGGTGAGCCCAGCCAATGGGGCATATCCGGGAAGACAAAAGACAACATCCAGGTTCTAGATATATTAATATGTATCTTTCATGGGATATGTTCTTCTCTAAAACTTATTTTTAAAACAGTGGAAAAGAACAAGAATCCAGTAGCATCTTTAAGGCCCCTGCCACATGGGGGGGGGGAAACACGGGCAAAGTGCCGCACCAAAAGAGACACGCAGCGGCGGGATCACATAGATCCCCTGAGCCGCCGCGCACTTCCTCCCCGGCACGATCAGATGCCGGGGGAAAGCCACTGACAGGGAAGTGAGGCAGCCGAACTGCGCATGTGTGAGCATGCGCAGTTCGGCTGGGAGCCGGGATTGCTACGAACAAAGAGCGCGCCGGTGATCCCACGGCCGCGCTTGATGCGGCGTCCCAGGTAAGTCCTCCTCTGGGGGTGGTTCTTTTTTACAGCGCGTTATTGGCCTGAAGGGACGGATCGGGGACGGGTGCGAGCCGATTCCCAGATGTTGCGGTGTGCTCGCGCCCGTTTGCTGCGCCCCCGATCCGTCCCTCTCCCGGGCCAAAATCTCCTGTGTGACCGGGGCCTGAGACTAGCTAAATTTGCGGCAGGGTATAAGGTTTTGTAAGTCACCACTCACTTCCTCAGATATCTGATATTTTGGACATCTGAAGAACTGAGCAGTGACTAATGAAAGCTCACACCCTGCCACAAATTTTGTTAGTCTTTAAGGTGCTATTGGACTCTTGCTCTTTTCTACTGCTACAGGCAGACTATCAGAGCTACCCATCTTGATCCTTTTAAAAAAGTTATTAATGCCTTTCCAGACACAAGGCAACTCTTATCATATTGTTCAGAGCTTCCCATTTCTCCGGTTGGTGATAAATCTAGGGGCTATTAAGCCCTTTAGTGATCCCCCTAGATTTCTCTCCAACTAGAGACATAGAAAGCTCTTTTTAAAAAAACAGTAAGAGTTTGCACAATTGAGATTTACCAGGTCTTTGTAATTGTCCTTGCTATATTGTGGCTCCGGTCACACGGGCTGGAAAATGTGTGTGTGTGGGGGGGAGCGTGGCTGTTTGCCTCGGAGCAAAATAACGCGCGGCTGCGCGATCAGACGTCCGGTTGAGGTCCCGTCGAGGTCCCGTGGTTAGGGGGGAGGTGCCGATCACACCACAGGCAAAGAAGTGGGGCGGCGCGGCAAACGGGGTTGTGTTTTTTTTTTTAAACTGAAGTGTGCGCATGCTCCATTGGGTGCTTGTGCGCATCCGATGGAGACTTGGGGGAAAAAACACCTTTTTGCGAGGGGACATGGGCAGGCGCCGGATGCCACTGGAAACGCGATCAGACGCCCGCCCTTGCCCCGCGGTTTCCAGAAACTAGTACCTCGGAGGTACTAGTTTTTTACCCCGCATCTTCGGCGGGAAGCCTCGGGTGAGCCACGGGAGCTCTACGCTTCCCAGATGTGGCGGTGTGATCGCGCCCGGAAAATCCGCCTATCTTTCGTCTCTGTAGCGTGGCTAATGCTCTGTGTGACTGCAGCCTGTATATATCAGTAAAGTGGTAAAATGAGTATCCCCCTAGGTTTGCTAACTTCCAAGTAGGACCTGGGGTTCTCTCGGAATCACAACTAGGGGTGCACATTTGGTATTTACTAAGCTTGAATAAATACCCAAATAATGCCTTTTCAGCATTTTTTGGGGGTATTTATTAAGTCGAGTACCAAGTCAGAGCATCTATTCGGTAGTCGAATAGAGATTCCCAAATACTTTTCAGCTTTATTCAGCTATTATTCGGCTTCATTATATATCATATGATGCCATTATAGTCAATGGCAAATCTCTTAGGGTATATTCAGTGGTCTGGGGGGGGGGGTTTGAGGTAGAGGCACCAGATTTGCAGAGTAGCTGCTGGAGCCTCTCCCCAAAAGGACCCCCAAGGTTCAAAAAGATTGGACCAGGGGGTGCCCCCATCCTCCATTGTTTCCAATGGGGGGGAGTAGCAGGGCAATACAAGCCCAGGAAAATGTCCCAGAGAATCTCTGCAGTTGAAAGTGAAGTGTTGGGGGGGGGGGTCAAAGGGATATTTTTGGGCAGGAACACACAGGAACAGAGTTCCGGCTGGCTCTCAAGTTGGCCACGCCCAGCAGGAACTCATTAGCATAATAGGCCATAACCAACAGCAGAAACTCATTAGGATTGGCTACATTAGGGGTGTGTGGCCTAACATGCAAAGGAGTTCCTGCTACAAAAAAAGCCCTGTTTTGACAACAAACAAGGTAAACAGAATAACAAGCAAAAGGTGGGTGTGGCTGGATGACCACACTTCTGGCAACACGGGGGTGCGGCCTAATGTGCTAATGAGCTGCGCTGTCAGTGGTGTGGACTAATATGCTAATGAGTTCCTG